CCTTGCAATGCAGAAGCTACATGGCTATCTCTTAAGGGTGATAAAAAATAGTGGTATGGTAGGCAAAATAACAGTCCCCCAAAGATGTGCGTGTCCTCGTTCCCACCGCCTAGGATTATGTTACATCATATGGCAAGGGGAGCATTATGGTTACAGAGGGAACTAAGGTTTCTAATCATCCGAGTTTAAGATAGGGAGATTGGGGGCACCTGGCTGACTCAGCACGTGCAGCCTGCGGCTCGTGATCTCAGGGTTGTGAGTTCGAGCTCCACCTTGGGCGGAGAGAGTACTTAAAAATAAAAATATTTCTTTTGGGCGCCTGGGTGGCTCAGATGGTTAAGCGTCTGCCTTCGGCTCAGGTCATGATCCCAGGGTCCTGGGATCGAGTCCCGTGTCGGGCTCCCTGCTCCTTGGGAGCCTGCTTCTCCCTCTGCCTCTCTCTCTCTCTCTCTCTCTCTCTCTGTCTCTCATGAATAAATAAAATCTTTAAAAAAAATTAAAAAAAAAATTTTTTTTAAAGGGAGATTGTTTTAGGGTAATCAATCACCAGGGTCCTTAAATAGGGAAGAAGGAGACAGAGGCCGAATCAGAAAGTTGGCATCATGAGAAAAACTCAACTGTCCGTCGCTGCTGTGAAGATGGAAGGGGGCCAGGAGCCAAGGAATGCAGGCAGCTTTCAAAAGCCAGAAAAGGCAAGAACCCAGATTCTCCCCTAGAGCCTCCAGAAAGGAACACAGCCCTGCTAAAATCTTGGTTTTAGCCCAGTGGGACCCATTCTGAAATGGGTCGCACTGACCTCTAAACCTGTACAGAATTATATTGTCTTTTTTTAAAAAAGATTTATTTATTTTAGAGAGAGAGTGTGTGGGGGTGGGTGGGCAGAGGGAGAGGGAGAGAGAATCTCAAGCAGGCTGTGTGTGGAGCCTGACATGGGGCTCCATCCCAGGACCCTGACATGGTGACCTGAGCCCCCCAAGCACCCCCAATATTATGTGGTCTTAAGCCACTGAGTTTGTGGCAATCTGTTACAGCAGTAGTAGGAAACCAATATGAACAGTCCTCAATTTTTTTTTGCATATATAACCTTAAAACAATTTTGAGAAACTATACATCCCCAATTTTTTAGTCGCAAGTTTAAATAGTTGCAAAAGCAGCAATTTCTAATTTATTATATATTATAATTATCTTTCCGATATGTTTCCACCAAAACCATGGAGATGCAGGCTTCACTTATTCCATTTATGAAAAACACTCTCCAAATGACCTCATTGGCAAAGCCTACCCTCATAATCAAACCAGTCAGCTAAAAGAGATTACTGCCTATCAGAAACAGTCTGACTTCATTTTTTTCAGTTTAAATCAAAGTGTTGGCATTTTCTCAGGAGAACCATCTCATTTCATTCCCGCTTCCCATTATTCAAGTACTTACCAAGCGTCCACTCTCCCAGGTGTTTGGGGTATAGCAGTGACCAGCCCTGAAGAATTCCTGCCCTCATAGAGTGCCTTCTGCCTCCTAAGACAGCTGAGAGGGCACATTGAGAAGTTTCAATGAGATAAAGCATCACATTTTCTTTTTTTTTTAAAAAGCTGCTTTATTGAAACATACCTCACGTACAGAAAAGTGTACAGATCATTTGATGAATTTTCACGCCCTGAACACATCCACATAACCAGCACTGAGATGAACATGGTATTTTCAGCTCCCAAAAGGCCTCCTTCTGCATCCTTCCATCACTATTTCTTACTGAACCCACTTTTCTCAGTCTAATGGGGACTCTCTCCTGTAGGAACTCTGCTTTTCGGAATTTTCTGCTCATTCAGCACCCATCTCAGGCAATACTTCACAGTGTGGAAAGGCAAGTCTGATCTCAAGCACCTCCCAGATAAAAACTGTATAGATGGATGCTGAGAATTTGGAAATTGATTTTTTAAAAATAATGGTTCTCAAAGTGTGGTTCCTGGACCAGCAGCATCGGTATCACCTGGGAACTCATTAGAAATGCAAATTCTTGAATCACATCCCAGACTTCCGGAACAGGAAACTCTCGGAGTGGGGCCCAGCAAACTTAAAATAAGCCCTCCAGGGGATTCTGTTGCACGCTCAAGTTTGAGAGCTATTGGGTTAAGATAATGATTGCATGGTAGTTCTTAAAAGCGTGTCCCCCAGACAAGCACAATCAGCATCACCTGGGAATTTAGGAAGGCGAAATATCAGGTCCCATCCCACCCAGAAACTGTTTTACACCTCATTCAGGGCATGCGATGAAAGCTTGAATTTGAGAAGCAATGCCTAGAGCTATACTTTTTTTTTTTTTTTAATGTTGTTAGTCACCCTATGCCTAGAGCTATAGTTGCTTGACCACTGGGAGAGCCTCATGCACTGCAGGGGTTCCCGTACTCCTAGCTGTAAAGCCTGCTTCATAGGGTATGAGAACAATTAATGGGATTTCTAGTCACTAATACAGTGCCTGGCTCATATTGGTGCTCAGTGAGTGTTTGTTGAATGAATTAACCTAATACTCAACAACAAGCCTGTGAAACAGGAAGTCAAGCAGATACAGGATTCGAACCCCCGGTCAGACTAGCCTTAAGAGTACGCAGACTTGATGGAACTGTACTTCCACTGCGCCAGGCGGCGCCTCCACTCCCATTCCCCCTCCGCCCGGGAGGTGGCGCTCTAGGGCGCCCGCGGAGGCCAGGCTAGTAGGCGGGACTTCCTGCCTTCGAGGGAGCACTTCCGGCCCAGCCCGGAAGACCGTTAATTTCCCCGGTGCTGCCGTTCCATCCCGGGCGCTGGAGTCGGGGTGTAGTTGGCCGGCTCCCTCGTGGCTCGTGGGTCGGCCGAGCGTCCCGCGCAGGTCCAAGTCCTCGACGAGCACAGCGGGGCCTGGGCCACGTAGGCGCGCGCGCCGGCGGGACGGCGGGGGGGGGCGGGGTCCCCCGGCCGGGAGCGGAGCTCGGGCTTGGCCTTTGTGCGGGTCTGCGGGCGCCAGGCTATGTGACTTTGGGACAGATCGCCCGACAGCTGCACGGTGGGTTGTCAGCTCCTACCTCACGGAGCGGGAGGACCCCACAAATGCGAAGCGTGGCGGCAGCTGTCCGGCACACAGAGCGGTTCCCGCGGGGTCTCTGCGGTGGTCGGGGGCTCCACCAGCGCCCTCTGCCTGCCTGGTTTTGTTTGAGGCTCATTCACTTCGGGGTTTGTTCTTTCAATTTATACGTACTAATTGTTGCAATGGAGCAAATACCGAGGCATTGGGAAGAAATGAAGTCCCTTTCCCATGGGGACTGTTAGAGCAGTTTGGAATCAGATAGTTTCATCTTTAAATATCTAATCACACACTGCAGTGCGTGCTCTGGGGGAGGGGTGCAGGTGTTGGGAGGAGAGAACCTGCGGGAGGCTTGCGGTCTGAAAATCTGAACGATGAGTAGGATTTTGTAGTTGGATGGGAAGGGTGCTGGCGTTCATTCTAAGCGGAGAGATGGTTTGCAGTGAAAAGTATGGTGAGGAAATTCCAAAGGAGGTCAGTGTGATTGGAGCTCAGGCGCGAGAGAGGAGCTAGAGGTGAGCTGGAGCCGCTTGTTTGGAGACATGCGCGCGCTGGTTTATCAGGGATGCAACCGCCCCTGGGAGGCGTGGGTGCTCATAACTGCAGTCAGGACCCTGCGTCCTGTAGTAGCCAGGGTTTCGCACGAGGATTCACTGAGCACGTCTTGATTCGTGCCACTGCCCTCTCCTGTTGTGGGAAAGAGAGTGAGGGCTTCAGCCGGACTCCAGGAACTCAGGAATGAATCAGATACAGTCCCTGCCTTAGGAGAGCTCCCAGTCTCAGGAAAGAGATAAGGCTATACATGGAGACCGCAATTAGAGGGAGGCTGACGTGCCATAAGATAAACCTGTTCGTTCATTGAGAAGCATTACTGGCTTTTACTGCATGACGGGTATTTTGCGCGGTGCTGAGAGTACGTGGATGTGTGCGGGTTACAGAATAAATCAACCAAATGCAGCGGCAATTCTAAAGGAAAAGATTTTTGTTTACCAAGGCTAATGCTGGTGTTTGCTTGTGGATGCCTGGGAGTGGAGAACTTGAGACTTGAGTGCAGAACTTGAGACTTTGAATTGGATGGGAGATCAAGCTGTTGGCCTTGGGGGTTTGCTGTTCCCCGAGCTTTAGTTTCCTGAACTCCAGAATAGGGAAAACAGACAAATAAAAGAGCTAGCCCATCACTTGCAGCTGCTGGTGTTCAGAAAGTGAACCCTGCTGTTATTTTTGTGGTTAATAAAAGAAGGGGGATGGTGTGGCTGCTTATTTTTCTAGCGCAGTTTGAATTTGGCAAAACCCTTTGACGTAAATTTACTGTTATTCAACACAGAGTCAGTTGCATTTTCCACAAGGTACTATGCTTGAAAGTGGGAAGACAGACGAATAAGACTCTGTGCTGGCTTTGGGGGAACTGGAGTTGGTCTTGGGAGTGTAGCCTGGGGTGTAAGGTGCCTAGTCTACCAACGAGTGATTGGAATACAGGAGAGCTGTAGTAGAAGCTGCCCCCTCACCACCTGTCTGACTTCATCCCCCTCCCATTCTCCTCCTCGTTCATCCTGTGGCCTCCCAGCTGTTTCTCACACTTTCCTGCCCCAGGACTTTTGCACTTGCTCTTCATTCTGCCGGGACCCCTCGTCCCAGTTGTTGGCATGGTTCTGTTCCTCATTAGGTTCAGGCTGTGCCAAATGCCCCCTTCTGAGCGAGGCTTTCCCTGGCTTCCGCTGCCCGTCACCATTGCCATCGCCTGCCTCATGCTTGGTTGGTTGGTTGGTTTTAATATTAGCACTTATTAATATCTGGCAGTAAGCTGCATATTTGTTTTTTATTATCTACCTTCTGAAATAAAATATGAAATATAGTCCTATTAGGGCAGTTTTTACTCTCCCGGGAACTCTGGAAGGCATGCTCAGATTCAAGTTTCCGAGAAGACGTGGTGTGTGGTTCTTGTTTTCCAGGATGGACTTCCCCAGCTCCCTCCGACCCACGCTGTTCATGACTGGCCCCCTTGGTCTGAGTAATGTTCCTGACATGTCCTTCATGTGTAGCTGGAGAGACGCCCTGACCCTGCCAGAGTCACTGCCTGAGAACTTTAAGGTGAGCGTGGCGGGGGGAGCCCTGGCTGTGGCCCCTTTCTGGCCCCCCCTTTCCAGCACTCACACCAGGTGTCGGGCTCAGGTGGGGTGGCATTGGCACTAATCTGCCAAGACACAGGTGAGCCAGAATCTTCATTTGGGGTTGCCGGCGACAGCCGCTCTCCGCAGAGGGTTTCCTGAGCACGGGCTGCCGCCCCTCCCTCCATCTTCCTCTCCTGCCTTTGCTCAGTCGATGCTCACTGATGAGCCCCTGCCACGCGCAGGGAGGGGCTCATTAGGCCCCGGGAATCCAGCGTGAGTAAGTCAGAGGCATCCCCTGCCCTGTGGAACTTAGGGTTAGGGCCAGTGGGACCAAGCGACCAAAGGATAGAATCATCACCCTGTGTGATAAGAGCTCAGCCTGCAACCCAGAGGATGCTCACATAGCACGGTGGGGAGGAAGCCGGGGGAGGGGAGCCCTCCCGGGACAGGAAGGACAAGGGGCTTCTCCTGGAAGCCTAAGCCATCTGGCTCCCACTTGGAGACAGGCTGCTTAAGGATGATGCCAGGCGGATTGGGGGGGGGGGCGGTCCCTGACAAGGAAGGGCTTAATGTCCATCCGGTCTCCTCTGGGAGCCCAGCTTGCCGGCGCTTGTACCCCTGAGTGTTGGAGCTGAGTGGTCTTGGGCCGGCCCAGCCCTGGGGAGTGGAGTGGCCTGTGGGCTCCCCGAGTCAGTAACCGCGAGTTCTCCTGAGTGGAAGTGAGAATCAGGCGGCACTTGGGTCAGCCGGTAATGGCACAGGGCTGTGTGGGGGAGTGCTGCAGCTCAGAGGCATGGACTGGCCCCCAGGCTCCCAGCCCTTCTCTTAACCAGCTGTTGCCCGGGGCGAGCCTCCCTGTGCCTCCACTGCTTCACCCCAGTGACTGTTGTACCAATGAGTTAGCAAGATACGTGCTTACAAATTAAAAAGAAATGAAGAGGCACCTGGCTGGCTCAGTCGGTAGAGGATGCAACTCTTGATCTCAGGGTCGTGAGTTCAAGCCCCATGTTGGGCGTGAAGCCTACTTAAAACAAAAATTGAAAAACAAATAAAAAATTAAAAGACACGTGCCAGCACCCGCACCTCGCCTGGGACCGCGCTCACTGTGTTCCTTTCGGGGTTGTGTTTCCTCAGAATGAGGCGCTGCACTTGGCCACGGGCCTACTCTGGGAGCCAGAGACCCCTGGACCCCTTCCTTTGCTGCCTCCTGGTCCCGGTAAGGGTCTTGGGCCCTGGGGCTCCCTTCCAAGACATTCCCCCTGTCACTTCTGTCCCCCACCTCCCACCCAAAGGCCTTCCCTCTCCCTGCTGGTGACCTCCAGTCATCTGGGATACCTGGTCCCACTTCTGGGCCGTCTCCGGTTCCCGAACAAACCCCTTCTCCAGCCTCACTCTTCCCTCAGATCCCTGGGACCCTGGGGTGACTGCCCAGGACCTGCTTTTCCGGGGAGCTTTCCCGTTCCGAAGGAAGCCCCAAGCCGTGCTAGACGTTACCGAACAGGTGAGTAGCCCCACAGTGGGCAGTGCTGAGTGGTGGGGGCTGTGCGCGGTGACCCAGCCTCCTCTCCCACAGCTCAGCCGCTTCCTGTGGGACCATGGGGACATAGCCTTTGCACCCCTGGGGAAGCTGATGCTGGAGAATTTCAAACTGGAGGGAGCACGGGTGAGTAACCCCTGTCAGCCAGGAAAGGGGGCTCCCTACTTGTCGGGGTAACCTCGGGTGTGCGAGCTTGACGAGGCCTTTCCACACAGAGCCGTTCTAAGAAGAAGACAGTGGTCAGTGTGAAGAGTCTACTCCAGGACCTCGGTGGACACCAGCCCTGGGGGCAAGTGGCTAGTGAGAAAGGACGGGCTGGGAAGGCCTAGCTGGGATGATGTGGAAGCAGCCAGGGCACCGATCCAGGGTCCCCTCAGAGTTGTTTCCTCTGCCCCGTGTGGTCAGGGGCCACAGTTCCTCACACCAAACTCCAGCTCTAAGTGGAAGGGGGAATTAGATTTATGGGCTGCAGGCATGGTTGCATCTAAGTGTTCAAATAATGTTACTAGGGCTCTATCTCTTTATCTTCCTCTTCACTTGGCTTTGTTTGGCTTAATTCCTGGACATACTGTTCCTAAGCGGCAGTGAGATGGCTTATGATCTCAAAGAAGCAGCTAGTGTTTTCCCTGAGGCACCAGCAAAAGCCCTGGGAAGGGTGTGGTTGGTGTGGCCTTTGTGTCTGGCTCCTCCCTGAGCCGATCACTGTGGCCAGAGGCGACCTATGACCACCCTTGCCGCAGGGACTAGGGCGGAATCATTTCGCAAAGGAAGAAATTCTAGGTTGATAAAAAAAATGCATCTGCTGGCCTGGCCTCCCTCGGGATAGGACCTAGTCCTCCCCTCGGTCACCGTCACCGCCTGATCCTCCTGCCGTTCCCTCGTCCCCAGCTGCCCCTGGGCTTTCCTCAGCTACCGACAGCGCCGGTTCTCCATCGTCGGGGGCCCTGTCCTGGGCAAGTCAGTGGCCAGCCTCCTGGGGGAGCTGCTGCACGAGGAGCTGGCCATGCGGTGGGAGCAACTGCTCCTGGACGATGCATTCACTGGGGGCGCTTTGGCCTGGGTGCCCGGGAGGACGCCGCAGGTGGGGCAGTTGGTCTACCCCGCAGGAGGTGCTCTAGACACGCTCTGTATCCTTTCGCAGGGGGCAGGAGGGGGTGGAGGAGGCTCCCTCTGGTGGAGGAGGTGCTCTCGGCGTGGTCCAGGAGAATGGCAGGATGTTGGGGGACTTGCAGTGACCGGAGCTCATACACTTGTCCTTAGCCAGAGGCCCAGGTTTCCAAGAGGTCAGTCTGCCCCCAGGCGGTGACCCTCAGGCTCTCGGGGACCCTGGCCACATCCAGCTCCGAGGACCTGTCCGGCAGGTGGTGACCCGCACTGTGCAAGGGGAATGTGAGTCCCCTGGACACCTCCCTCCCCCTCTGCCTCCCTCCCTCCCTCCCTCAATGTCTTGCTACCTAACTCTGACCCTCTCCATCCCACAGCCCTGCTGGCTGTCCGCTCTGACTACCACTGTGCCCTGTGGAAGGTCAGCAAGCAGGGGCGAGCCGCCCCTCTCCAGGTGCTGCAGGTCGGGAAGGGGGCCACAGGGATCAGCCTCAGGTGAGGGGCTCAGTCGGGCTGGTGTGCACGGAGCTGGGCTTGGGAAAAGGCGGGGGAGGTCCACTGACCTTGCCTGTGCCCTGCAGCCCTCACCTGCCTGGGGAGCTGGCTGTCTGCAGCCGTTCTGGAGCCGTCTGTCTGTGGACCCCCCAGGATGGGTAATGCCCCTTTCCTGTGAAAATCCTCCACTGCTATAAACAGCTCCCCCCGAACCACAGCCTGTACTCCCCGTGCAACATGTCCTGGACCCCGGCCCCCCCCCACATCAGCCCAACACGGCTGGCCTATCTCCCCAAGGCTGCAGCAAGTCTACAAGGACCCTGAGACCCTTGTGTTCTGTGACCCCTCTCCCTGGCGTTGGGCAGACTTCACCGCTCATCCCCGGGTGCTGACTGTGGGGGACCGCACTGGAGTGAAAATTATCGACACTCAGGTGAGCGGAGGGGACCGTCCTAGGCATAGCAGTGGGACAGAACAGATACATGGGGGAGGGCTGGGGCCAGGGATCTTCCACAGAGGGCGTGAAGGGCTGCAGGGCCATGAGCCTTGCCCGCCTGGTGGGGGCACTGGCGGGGGTCTTGCCACAGCCCCGGGCTGTGGGAGGGCTGACCTGGGACTCTCACCCAGGGCCCGCCCGGCTGTGGTCTGCTGCTTTTCCGTGGCGGGGCAGAAGCGTCATGTCGGAAAGGGGAACGTGTCCTGTTGACCCAGTACTTGGGGGAGTGCGGCCCCGAGCCTCAGCTTCCCACACTCCATCTCATCTGTACCCAGGTGAGCAGCGCCTTCCTCTCCTCTCCCCTGCGCACCGTCAGAGGGGACAACTCCGGCAAAGCGGGGATTGGGAGACTCTGATGAGTCTGCGCTTGGACTGCGCTAACAGGCGGATGGCTAAGGCCTCACGGGGAGGTGCCACCGAGCGGAGCTTTAAGGAGGCCCCATGGGGAAGGAGGAAAGACATGGGGTGTCGGGGAGCGGTCTCTGCGAAGTGGGACAGTTTCCCTGTGCACTGAGGAAAAGGGGAGGCAGTCTGAGGGTCTGATCCCCACCCACCCCCCAGGACCCCGGGGTGTTAGCAGGTGTGTCTTGAACACAGGTTCCAGGGTTGGACGGGTTCGGGGAAGGCCTGGGGCAGGCCAGGTGGGTTTCTGTGTCACAAGACTGCTCTGTCCCTCTCCTGAGAGTCACTCCCATGTGGCGCCCCAAGTGATACACCCAGGAAATGATGCCCTCCATGTGGTGCTACGTAGTGGGGTCGGGGGTCGGAGGCGTCAGGGCGGTCATGGTGCCGGGACAGCTCTGGGGCTTGAACTCCTCTTGAGAGCCACACGGAGCAACTCGTCCCGTCAGACACCTTCCTCCCACCTCACGGCTCAGTCACGGCCCCCTTCGGTCCTGGTGCCCCCACACACACGCCCGCGCACCCACCCTCATCATGGCCTGCCTTGGTTGCTGCAGCCCCCCGTTTGTTCTCCCCTCGGTCACAGCCTCCCCTTACGACCCCCATTCACCCCCATTGTAGCATCCTTCAGTCTGGCCTTGTCCCCGCCACACGTCTCCCCCTTCACAGCCCTCCCCCTGCCCTGTCTCATTCCCCGCCTCCCCCACCGTCAGGGTCTTCCTCACTCACCGCCCTGCGTCTTGCTTCTTGTCGTCTTGTTTCCTGTCACCCCCAGTTCTCGCTCTACCTGGTGGACGAGCGCCTCCCCTTGGTGCCCATGCTGAAGTGGGACCACGACCTCCCCTCGGCTCCCCTGTGGGCCCGGCTGCTGCCCCCGCCCTGCCCCGGCTGCCCCCGGCCACTGCTCCTGGGGGGCCAAGGCGGGCACCTGCAGCTGCTGCACCTCGCAGGTACGAGTCAGGCAAGGGCGGGAGGCGGGCAGGAAGACGGGCAGGGAGACGGGCAGGGCCTCAGCCGTCTGTCCTTCCTCCAGGAGAGGGGGCCTCTGCACCCCGGCTGGCGGGGCCCCCCCAGTCTCTCCCTTCCAGCAGCGACTCCCTCTCTGCGTTCCCCCTGCTGGAGCCCAAGAGTCAGTGGCGTCTGCAGGAGCGTCTGAAAGCACCAACCATAGGTGCGCTGGGGCCAGGGGAAGGAGTCGGCGGGGCGGGGCGGGCACCCTACTGGGCCTTGGCGTCACTGTCACTCCCCTCTCCAGGGCTGGCTGCCACCATCCCATCGTCAGCTTCCGAGCCAGTCCTGTCGCTCTTCCAGCTCTCGGCGGCCGGGGATGTCTTCCACCAGCACCTCCACCTCCAGGCAGACCCCGGGCCCCACTCCCGGGCCCCCACAGCTTCCTGGACTCCCCAGGCCACTGCCTGCTGCAGTCGGTGGCTGAAGGCCCTGCTGGACGTGCCCCCGACCCCGCCTGTGTGGGCAGCACCCACATTTTCCCACCGCCGTCTGCTAGGCTGCATGGAACAGAGGAAGGTGGAGCAAAAGGAGCCGGAGGGTCTCCGAGCGGCCATGGCTGCAGGGCGGCTGCTGCAGCAGAAGGACGTGGGCTCGCCCCCCTCTGCGGGGCCGCCCCCCGCCCCCGAGCCAGGCCCTGAGGATGAGCTCAGTGCCCGTTTGGAGGCAGCCTGGGAAGGCCGCGTGGCCGCCTGGTGGGAGAGGCAGCAGGGCAGGAGCTTGGGGCCCGGCAGACAGCCCAAGCGGCGCAAGCGCCGGACTCAGCTGTCCAGCACTTTCTCCTCACTCAGCGGCCGCCTGGACCTCTCAGACGCCACCAGCCCCCCTCACAGCCCAGACCGGGCATCCCCTGAGGCCAGGCCTCGGCCACCAGGGACCCCGCCCTCCCAGGAGTCGACTCAGGAGCTGTGGGCTCAGGGGGTCCCCTCGGAGCGGCAGCAGACTCTCCGTGACTACATGGCCAGGCTGCCGCTCCGAGGGGATGCCCCACGAGGTGTCTGCTCACCCCTCTCCGGGACCTCCAGTATCCGGGCCACGCGCTCCAGGCCCCAGACCCTGCAGGATGGCACGGCCGAGCTGCCGCCACGAAGGAACACCCGGAGAGGTGCCGCTGTGTCCTCCTCCCAGACCTCCAGCGTCTGGGCCACGCCCTCCAGGCAGCAAGCGCTGCGGAAGAAGCCCCGCATGGGCTTCTGAGGGCCCCAGGGAGGCTGCTCCCCCAGCCCCGGGGAGCCCTTCATCCTGGACCTGCTGCGCCTTCGGTGGTTGGAAGCTGGGAAGTGAAAAGAGCACAGTCTCCAGGGCACAGGCCTCTCTGCTTCTGGAGTAGTGGGGACAGCAGTACTTGTTTCTCCTACTTGTGCTTTTCCTAGAAGACCATTCCGGAAGGCATGTTGAGAAGGCCCCAGTGGGCCTGTCCTGAAGGTCCGTGTCCTTGGGATTCCCTCCAGGGGGCAGGGGGCTGTGCTGCACAGGAGCTGGGCCTGCCATGTCCCCCCCCACCCCCCCCAGACGCCGGGGTGACGTAAGGGCACCAGCTCCTTGCGCTCGCGGGCAGTCCGCAGCTGCTGGTGCTGCTTAGTTTGTGTTTGTTAAGCAGTTTCTACCGTGATCCAGTGTTTTGTAGAGGGAGACACTTTGGCCCCACGTTTAGGGAGTGAATAAACTTGGCAGCTGAACGGGGCTTGGAGTGATCGGTTTCTCAGGCCGCAGCGCCACCTCCTGCCGCTTGTGATGTGTGATGCCTGAATTCACTTCCCCTGAGCGTGTGGCTCCGTGGAAGATTTTGCTCCCCTCTGGGGAAAACAGCCCCCCAGAATGTCACAGAATACCAGGATTTGATGTAGATTTCTCATCACACGTGAAGAGTGGTACCTGGTGAGAGGAATCACACAGGACTCGCGGGGATATGAAATAATCCAGTAACACATTGACTCACTGTGCTAAATGTCTGTAATGCTCAGTTACACGGCCGAGAGCACAGAGCAGGAGCCCGGCTGGCGTGCACTTGGAGAGGCACCAGCGGACGGGGCGCGGAGCGGCAGGTGCACATGGCAACCGAGGCGCCCAGCGCTCTCAGAACTGCGACTCTTTGGAAGGAAGGGGAGCCCAGCCATGGGGGTGACCTGTACCCACAGGGGGGCCCTAGCTGCCGGCTCGCTGTCGCCATTAGCCTAGGGGCAGAAGGGCCACCCTGGGGTTCAGTCCAAGCCAAATTCAATGTCCTCCCTGTCTTCTCCCGCCTCGGGTTCGGCAAGCTCCGTCTCAGACCGCGCCTCGTTCTCGTCGGTGACCTCACCTAAGCAGGAGAGAAGGTAGCTGTGTTCTCGGGACCTGTGGTCAGCCTCTCACTTCTCCCTGCGTGCAGGCCTCGAGTCAGGCGTGCAAGCTGGTGTTGAGAAAGAAGCCTGGCTACTGGCTAGTGTCGCCTAGGAACCGCCTGGGCTCAGGAGAGGCCCAGCGACTGAACTCATCGCCGCACCCCACCCCGTTTGCTCATTACCTGTGAACACTGCCCTGCTTCCCCCACACGTGCCTCTCCCTGGCCATGTGCGTGGGCCCCCAGCACCGGGCCAGGCCGACCAGTCAGCTCGTGACTTGCCGCACCCAGCCAGGCACTCTGGCCACCCCCTGCCCAGTGAGCCTCCCTTCCCTGCCAGCACCACCCCGCTCAGCATTCACCCCATCCTCCACCCTCAGGCCAGCAGTCACCCTCATTTTGTCCCACACTCCCTGTCGTGGTGTCACCAGAGCCCGCCCTTCCTCAGAAGCCTGGGTCTGGAGAGGCCGAAGATCAGGTGGTGTGGACGGGGGTGAAAACAGGTTTGCAAGCCCCGCCAAGACCCACGTGGCCACCGGGAGCCCTGGTGAGGCCAACCCACCCGACCAGAAGCGAGTCGGCTCTGCAGCTTCTCGGCCCAGGCCAGCAAGCGGCTATGAGCAGGGAGATGATCTACAGCGGTCTCTCTGGTCTGTTGTGAGTGGCCTCCAACCCGTCGGCTGGCCCCCCTGGGCTTGGATAGTGGCAGTTCCTTCCCCCCATCTAAGCCTGGGCCCCTGTGGCCTCAAAAGTAGGGTGGTGTTACCTGGGAGAGAGGTTGGAAGTAGGTCACTGTCCCCGTCCTCACCGGAAGGGGGTGGTGTGCCGTCCTGTTGGCAGGTTGGGGGTACCGGTGGCCGGCCTGAAGCTTCCTCGCCGGGGAGCTCCTGGATCAGCGGGCGTGGGGACTTGGTGTCTCCCCTTGGCGTTTCCGAGTCCCTCTCGGCTGCTGCTTTACATATGTCGGTGAAGGGTGTCTCAGCCTTCCTCGCCGGGTCCCTGGGGATTGTGAATATGTTTGAAAGGGCATCTGGAGTGTCTTCCAGCACTGGGAGTGAGGAGTAGTCCAGTTCAGGGTCACTGTCATCACTCAAGCTCGAGATGGTTATTATCTTTGGAAAGTGCATCTGTTAAGAGAAAAAAGATGTGTGAACGTTTCTGCTTTCACGATAGTCACTATAGAATGCCCAATGCGGACGCTGCCTTTTTATTGATCATAAGATACTCTGTTGTCACATACAAGAAGGGTCTGAGGGAGCCCCACACTCTGCCCTTGGGACGTGAGACCTCAGGACTGATGCCCCTTGGCCACATTCCCGAGCCCCCGAAGGGGTGGTGAGCTCTCCAGCAGGGCTCCTCTCCGGCCCTCCGTCGGGGGTCCAGCCACACTCCCCTCGCCCGCTCTGCACCTGCCACCCCAGCACCCTCCTGGGCTTCCGGGTCGGCTCCACTCGGAGCCTCGGCCTCCGGCTGGCATGTGCCCCACGGGACGTAGCCCCCTTGGAGAGGAGTCCTCCACGGGAACTGTGGGCTTGTGCGTGCTTCCTTCCTTGGCGATGAGCTCCTGCCCAGAGATGGTGTCTTACGCTGCCCTCGCAGTGCCCATCTGTGCAGGAGTACCCCCATGCTGCCTCGTACACTCTCCTCCCCTTCCCCGTCTGTGTGTCGCTACGGGACAGGCATTCCGAAAATGAACACCTCCCACGTCAGAAGGACACAAAATTGTTCCCACGTACTCGTATACGATCAGCAGTTGTTAAAAATCAGTGCCAGATGTGTGTTCCGGAAGACCCAAGGGCTTAACCATAAGACCTGACGCAAGTGAGCAGCTGCACTTGCTTTGGAGAGGGGAGACCTGGGGGTGCAGGCCAGGAGCGCCTGACGTGCATAAAGGAGCCGTGCTTTGTGAGTAACGGGACCGGAGCGACAGTGACATAGGGCTGACTGGGGACGCGGGGCTGATGACCTGGTCCTGGCCTTCCGGAGGCTCGCCTGTGTCAGCGTCTTCCAAGTCAGGCAGGTCCTGGAAGAACAAAGAAGCTCCTGTCACCCGGCGGCAGGCACAGGGTCGTGTGAGCCGGGGTCATGTGCAAGCCGAGTGTGCAGGAGGAACGAGGAAGGCCCTGAAGCCCTCAGGCAGGCCGTGTACACTCGCAGCGCACACACAGCGCCAGCCCGGATACCTGGACCTCAGCGATGACAGAGGTCGGCAGGAATGCCTTTGTCATCAAAGACCCAGCCAGTGCATGGGGGGGCCAGGGGGAGGCAGACAATGGGGCCCAAGCCAGAGGCGCGGCCTAGGACTCTGTGGTGTAAAGTGAGTGTGGTTCGGGCCTCCCCACGACTGGGGCGGGGGCGGCACGGGGGGCTCTCCTGTCGTGGGTTTGTATCTTCACAGCCACCAGGCCAGCACGCGAGGCAGGCAGCGCAGCGTGCAGTTAGATGGAGGGGCTCGAGCCATGCTGCCTTGCTTGGCATTCCTGCCCCTCCAGGCTTTGCTGTGGAGCCTCGGGCAAGTTGCTTCGCCTCTCTGTTTCTCAGTCTCCTCGTCTGTGAAATGGGGATGGCGATGGTACCTACCACCTCTTAGACTTACTGGAAGCTTCAGTCAATCAAACATGATCTGCCTAGAACAGTGCCAGGCAGAATAAGAACCGTAAGTTCTGGTCGTCCCGGACATGGCTGGTTCTCTCTCCCCCGTGTTTCTTACCACACATGGGCTCCGAGAGCTAGAAGCCCGCTCTGAACACTGACTGCCCCGTGCGAGTCTTACTGAGCCACGTGAAACTGCGCAGCTTACCAGGGAAGTGGGCGGCGGCAGGCAAAACCGTGGGCTGTCCTTCCCGGGGCCCTGAGTGAGCCCCAGCTGCCCACTGGCCATGAGGCTGGGTGGGTGACAGAGGCCTCCCCACTCCTTGCCCCCCACAAGCACGCTTCCTGGGGGTGGCGAGGAAATGTGTGAACTCCCATGGTACCTGCTCCTGCGACAGTTCCCAGATGGGAAGGGCGGGGAGGAGCGGGGGAAGCCCAAGCGGCAAGACGCCACACGGCTGGCTGTGGGGGTGGAGGCCCCACTGATAAGTGTCCCGTTCTCAACAGTCCTGTAGGAGGCTCTCTGGACAGAGCTGCTTTGCCATGTGACTTCGGGGAAAACAAATCCGGCTTTGCAGAGGGAGCTGGAGGGGGACACCTGGGCCAGCATCGCTCAGTCTCGAAGGTGCATGTGCATGAGCACCCGGGGAGATCATGTTACAGGGCCGCTCTGGCCCGAGGTCTCGGGGATGCCAAGTCTGTTGGCCACAGAGCACCCTTGGGTTAGTGCGGATTTGGGGGGGTTCTGTGTGATCTGATACCAGCTGTGAAGCAGACCCCTCTCCGCAGACACGGCTATTTACGTACGTCGATGAAGAACTTCTTCTCCACCTCCAGTTTGATAGTCGCCAAATCTTCGTCGGCACCCAGTTCTGTGCCTGCTGCACCCCCGGCGGCCACAGTCTGGGGGGCCGGTTCTAAGAACAACAACACAGAGTTGTTCACCTTGGGGCAAGTTATATGAGCAGTGGTCAGGCTGACAAGCCCAAGAGCGGAGAGAGGCCAGCCCCTGGGACAGAAGCCGCGAGAATCCCCCCGTTAGGACAGGGTTCTGTCTCAGAAGAAAGGAGAGGGGGAGGAGAGAGCCACCCTCTGGCTGGAACTTGGCCGTGACTCCAACAAGATGAAAGTACCAGCCAGGGAGCAGGCAGAATGTGCAGGTGCCAGGAAAAGGCCTGGTTTGTGGGCAAGGAAATAAAGGTCACCTGGGGAGGTGGAGGGGAAGGCAGGCTGGAGAGTCCAGGGTCGCGGCCCGGCCCAGGAGGGGCTGAGTCCACCACCTGCGGGGACCGCCTGTCCCTGGTGGTGGCGTGAGTGTCCGGGAGGCCCAGTAAATAACGAAGGGATGGGCGCCTGGGTGGCTGAGTCAGCGAAGCGTCTGCCTCCGGCTTGGGTCATGATCCCGGGGTCCTGGCATCGAGCCCCACGTCGGGCTCCCTGCTCCGCGGGGAATCCTTCTCCCTCTGCTGCCCATTTGTGCTCTCTCTTGCTATCTGTCTCTCCCTCTCAAATAAATAAAATGTTAACAAAAATAATGCAGGGTTACCTGCGTATGTGGAATTGGGATGGGTACTTCTTCCTACTCCAGGCTCCCACTTTTTGAGGTCCCCAAGACCCTATCCTTGGGTTCTGTTCCCTCCCTGCTCTTCAGTCTTGTGGCTTCTGTTATTAGAGATCCACGGCTCAACTTTCCTCGTCACACGTGGGTCCAGTGTGTCCAGTTTGGCTCCGAGACTTCCAGAGGGCTTCTGTGGTTGCTGCTGTGGATGAGCCCAGGCCGGTCCCTCCGGACCTTCCCTCGCTAGGCCCAGCGGTCACGGTCTCCACGTGGCCATCCCTGTGGCTTCTCTGATTCGTAATTACTACCCTGGTCTGCTTCCCCTCCGGTCAGCCCTTCCTCCTGCACCCCTTGTCCTGCTCATGGCACCGTGGTCTCCAACTTCCCAGCCACCAGAAGCTTGTCAGGGCAGCGGCTGGGTCCCTTTTTTCCCTATGAACGATCTGCTTAGGCTTTGTTTTGGGAAAAGGTAAAGCAGGGAAGAGATGAACAATTATTGGGGGCATGGCTGACGTACATCATTCAGTCCATGGCAGAGACTTTCCATTTCACAGAGGCTGAAACAGGCTCCCAGAGATTTTGGGGTTTGCCTGAGGTCACTCAGCTGATGGGAGGGGTTGGACATGGCTTTGACCTCAGGGTATCTGTCTAGAACCCGTACTGCCTGGCCTCTCCACAGGGTGTCCTAGTGAGGCACGGGTGTGGTTCTCAGACCATGTTGGAGACCACCAGACAGCAGCCAAAGGCCTTCTAGGGAGAGTGGAACGAGGTGGGAGATGCTGTGATTGCCACGATGGTGCACGCGCTCTCTCTGCCCTGAGATGCCGACTTCTGCACGGGGTTGGGGAGGTGACTCAGGCACCGAGTCCCAACGTGCTTCTCCGCGAGCTGGCACTGACTCCTGATTGCATGAGGAGGTCCCAGACTTTGCACAGAAAATGCAGAAGAGCTGCTCACGCCGGTTAGCTCCTCGTTCCCCCCATCCCCCACCTATGAGGAAAGGCAGTCCAACGTGGGAAAGGCGAATGGAAAGTAATTTTTTAAACAGAAGGTTTTTATATGTAGATTCGCCTTTCTTGGGGCTGGGTCATTTGAATCAAAGTGGAAGAAGCTCAGTTCAGCCTCTCAGGCCGGCCGACACCCAGAGGGGTGAGCTCAGGAGGGGCAGAGAGCAGAGGCCCGGGTGGGCAGAACGAGCGTAAACGAGGGCGGTCTCTGCAGGCGGTGCTCTCTCCAGTCCCCCGTCCCCCGTCCACCATGTGCTCGCTCTCCACTTGGAGCAAGTTCCCTCACCCCTCTGAGCCTCTGTTTCCACTTCCATAAGATGGGGACGCACAAGACCAGCCTGGGAACCTCCGGTCATCACCGCGCACCATGCATGTTGGGTAAACAGAGCTGGCAGTGTCCCGCTCCAGACCACCAGCTCCTCTTCAAAGGCGCCCTCCTTCCTTTCGGGATGGCAAAGGCTGGGGTCCCTCTCCGGCCGCTCTGCTCCCACACCAGGTGCAGCTTCCAAGCAAAGGCTCCCCGGAGGGGCAAGCGTGCAGGGGAGTGCAGGGTGCCACCCGCTCAGCAGCAGTTCCCTACCTTTGCAGGCAGCTGCGGGGGCAGCCGGCTTCAGGGCCTCCTCCAGGCGCAGCCCCCCTGGCGCCTGGCCTTCTCTCTCTCCGCCGACCTCCACCAGCAGCTCCTCCTTGGCCTCGAAGCTCTCCCTGACAAACAGCTCCATTTTCTGCTGCCTCTCCCCCTCCTCACAAGGCTTTTCCTTCACTGGCACATTGGCATCCACGTTCTTGCTCTCCTCCGGCACCGGCTCCTCCCCTGAACAGGAGAAATCCAAGGGTGAGCCAGAAAATGGTCTGGGAGGGCAGGGGGCTCAGGGTGTCTCTTGGGGACATGCAGCGAACTGCTGGGGGTGAGCTTGAGGACGCAGCGAAGGGGTGCGTCAAAGTGTGCGCTGAGCCCTGAGGAAGCAGCGCTCAGTGTCCACGGCGGCGGGCGGGGGGGGGGGGCTCTCAGCACATCCGTCTAGTGGCACAGGACATGCCTAAAGACCGTGCAGGGGGCTCTTAGGAGATGTACACAGAAGCATTGGGGCTTATGGGCCTCGACGTCCACCTTGACTTTGAAGTGTCTTGGCAGAACAGGAGTGTGCATGCGTGTGTGTGTATGTGTGTGTGAGAGAAAATGTTGAACACCATCCAATCTAAGCGGACACAGTACAGCTGTTTGTTTCACTATTCTTTAAGCTTTTCTGAAACTTGGAAAAATACCAAAATAAAAAGCTTGGAACAGGAAAAATGCTATAGGAGAATGTCTACTTTATGGAAAATACATTATGGTAATTTAAAACAATAGGCAGAAAGCAATATAGTTATGCCATTGTTCTATAAAAATCCATAAATGTTACATGCATGGGGAAAAGCCAGGAAATGCTGAGTGGTTCTTGCTGCAATTGTTATTGCTGGTGCTTTCTTGTTTTCTATGTGTGGTTGCGTTCACATTTTGTAGTTAGGTGAGAAGCGCTAAATGTCATTTAAAAACACACATGGAGACTCGAGCTCCTCTACTGGGTGTAGGATGAGGACGGGGGTTCTTACTTATTAAGGTGGTCTGAGGGCTGTCCCTAGGGTCCTGTGCCGAGCTTGGACCAATGCAGACCCAGGGTTCACTCTCTCCCTAGAAGCCTTTACCAAATGCCGGCCAGCGGCGTCGGGTGTGGGCAGGTGACTCTGAGCTCTGGATTTGGGGTAGTAGATTGGGGAGGCAGCGGGGGGGTCATTTACCCATAACCTGGGAGTAGACAGAGTCTTGAAACTGGGTGAGAGAGGGCAAGGCAGGGAGACAGGTTCTGAGATCCTGGAAGAGACCAGCTGGGCCGAGAGCATTTCCTAGGCCTCCCTGATCCTGCTGAGCCAGGAATCGGGTGATCCGAACCTTTCGAGGGTTTGGCAGGTTCCATACAACTGCCCAGACTGTCAGCTCTAGTCGGAGCTAAGCAGAGGCAGCACCGTCTATGCCACAGAGAAGGTGTGCTGCTGCCATCCCAAGTTCACAGAACTGAACTGTCGAGGTGGGCCATTAAAAGAAATGAAGTACTGATCATGTGATCACCTGGAGGAACCCCAAAGCACCAGGCCAGGTGAGAGGAGCCAGACGCAAAAGGTCCCGTCTAGCGGAGAGCACCATGTATATGAAGCATCCAGAAACATGGGTGGTTGTTGGGGGCTGGGGGTGGACAGCATGGGGGGGTCACTGCTCACCGGCACAGGGTTTTATTCCGGGGTGATGACAAAGTTTTGGAAGTAGACAGAGGTGCTGGTTGCTCCACGCAGTGATCGTACCACAGCAAAATGGTTAATTGTATGTTATGTGAATTTCATGTCACTTAAAAAAAAAGTCCAGGGCCTCCATGTTTTTCCACGGTGATTCTCCGGCACCAGGGCTACAGCAATCTGCTTGGCCCCCAGCATAGGCCACCTTGCACCTACATGAGCCACCAAGCTCATGCCACTAGCATCACTTCATAGCCCATGACCTCCTGTCACCTGCCATGGCAGGGCTGGTTTTCAAGGCCCTTCCTGATGTGATGTCATTCAACCCAGTAACCTTATTTGATTTCCCAGTTTACAACTGAATTCCAAACATGGGCATCTGGTTCTCCTCTGCACCTCCCCAGGGAAACTGTGGGCTCCTCAGAGGAGGGGAACCCTGTGCTCTCCCTGTTGGCACGTGGGACAATGTCTGCGTGCTTGGTCCTCAGGTGAGGAAGTACGTGGACGTGTGTGTGCCAAAACCTGTTTCTTTACCACCCCCCCCCCACAACATGGGCAGAGACAACTTTCTGTGCAGACAAACGGTGGATTTAAAGGAGCAGTAGTAGGAAAACCTTAATAACTGTGTGACTGAGATACGGGAGGAAGGCACAGACTGAGCCCCTGGTCTAGATGCTGGCTG